GTTATTTAGATGTTATTCTAATAAGTATCTAAGTCAGAAAAAAATATATTTGATTTGTATTTTTGAATATTTTCTTCTATTTGCCATTGCTTCATCCACTATAAATTCAATTTTTTGTATTTTTTGATGTTAAAAAATTCGTAACTTTTTTATTGTAGCCTCTATTGAAAAGTGTTAAAGAAAAAAAATGTGTCTTTTTAGGAGTATTTTTAGGGAAAAATAGTAGAAAATTTAAAAAAAGAAAAATTGAAAAATTTGAATTTTTTCAAAATTCAAAATTTGAATAACTTTTTTGTTTTAATTTCTATCGAAAAGTGTTGAAGGAAAAAAATGTTTATTTTTGGTAGTATTTTTATGGAAAATTAAGAAAAAATTTTTTTTTTTAAATTTGAGAAAAATTGAATTTTTTGAAAATTCAAAATTTGAATAATTTATGAATTTTTGGGCGGATAAGTCTGTCCGACGAACTCAGGCTTCATTTTTACATGTTGAAAGAGTATACCAAATTTCAAAGCGATTCGTTAAGATTTGTTCAAGTTATCGTGGGGACAAAAAAGTGTCTACAGACAGACGACAGACGACAGACGACAGACAACAGACGACAGACAGACGGACAGGTTTTCAAAACCTATTTTTTTGGCATCAGGAGGTCTCAAAACGTGGAGATTTACATGAATTAGAAGTTGGTCAAAATCAACCAAAACGAATACTTTCTCATTTATGATGAGAATGTAAAAACAAATTTTCAAAAATGTTAAAAAAAAAAAATTTGAGTTGATTTTTATTATTTTATGTTATTTAGATGTTATTCTAATAAGTATCTAAGTCAGAAAAAAATATATTTGATTTGTATTTTTGAATATTTTCTTCTATTTGCCATTGCTTCATCCAGTATAAATTCAATTTTTTGTATTTTTTGATGTTAAAAAATTCGTAACTTTTTTATTGTAGCCTCTATTGAAAAGTGTTAAAGAAAAAAAATGTGTCTTTTTAGGAGTATTTTTAGGGAAAAATAGTAGAAAATTTAAAAAAAGAAAAATTGAAAAATTTGAATTTTTTCAAAATTCAAAATTTGAATAACTTTTTTGTTTTAATTTCTATCGAAAAGTGTTGAAGGAAAAAAATGTTTATTTTTGGTAGTATTTTTATGGAAAATTAAGAAAAAATTTTTTTTTTTAAATTTGAGAAAAATTGAATTTTTTGAAAATTCAAAATTTGAATAATTTATGAATTTTTGGGCGGATAAGTCTGTCCGACGAACTCAGGCTTCATTTTTACATGTTGAAAGAGTATACCAAATTTCAAAGCGATTCGTTAAGATTTGTTCAAGTTATCGTGGGGACAAAAAAGTGTCTACAGACAGACGACAGACGACAGACAGACGGACAGGTTTTCAAAACCTATTTTTTTGGCATCAGGAGGTCTCAAAACGTGGAGATTTACATGAATAAGAAGTTGGTCAAAATCAACCAAAACGAATACTTTCTCATTTATGATGAGAATGTAAAAACAAATTTTCAAAAATGTTAAAAAAAAAAAATTTGAGTTGATTTTTATTATTTTATGTTATTTAGATGTTATTCTAATAAGTATCTAAGTCAGAAAAAAATATATTTGATTTGTATTTTTGAATATTTTCTTCTATTTGCCATTGCTTCATCCAGTATAAATTCAATTTTTTGTATTTTTTGATGTTAAAAAATTCGTAACTTTTTTATTGTAGCCTCTATTGAAAAGTGTTAAAGAAAAAAAATGTGTCTTTTTAGGAGTATTTTTAGGGAAAAATAGTAGAAAATTTAAAAAAAGAAAAATTGAAAAATTTGAATTTTTTCAAAATTCAAAATTTGAATAACTTTTTTGTTTTAATTTCTATCGAAAAGTGTTGAAGGAAAAAAATGTTTATTTTTGGTAGTATTTTTATGGAAAATTAAGAAAAAATTTTTTTTTTTAAATTTGAGAAAAATTGAATTTTTTGAAAATTCAAAATTTGAATAATTTATGAATTTTTGGGCGGATAAGTCTGTCCGACGAACTCAGGCTTCATTTTTACATGTTGAAAGAGTATACCAAATTTCAAAGCGATTCGTTAAGATTTGTTCAAGTTATCGTGGGGACAAAAAAGTGTCTACAGACAGACGACAGACGACAGACGACAGACAACAGACGACAGACGACAGACAGACGGACAGGTTTTCAAAACCTATTTTTTTGGCATCAGGAGGTCTCAAAACGTGGAGATTTACATGAATTAGAAGTTGGTCAAAATCAACCAAAACGAATACTTTCTCATTTATGATGAGAATGTAATAACACTTGATAAGAGAACGACTATTCAAATTTTCTTCCAAATTGTTTTTAGGTTATGACCAAATTATGACGAATGATCAGCAGTACTGTAAACGTAAAAAAAAATAATAGCAATTTTTCATAAGAAACTTTACATCGTATTATAAAAATGTAAAATATTATTAAATTATGAGTGTTTTGCAACATTTGTTAACGTTATTTAATGCAAAACATATATATTTACAAAGTATAAAGCAGAATATTATTATTGAAACAATTATTCATTATTTAATAATAAGTGTTCCACTGTTTAACACAAACCTTCAAAACAAGAAAAAAGTATCAAGTTCTAAAAACTTGAAATTTTTCTATTTAATCACAATATAATTTAAATAGAATATATGCATTATGTAGAAAAGAGTTCAAACTTTATGGTAATACCAAAAACTGTCCAAAAATATATAAAATTTACATAATTATATGTCTTTGAAAAAAAGTGTCCCACTGTTTGTCACTCTCCCCTATATACATATATACAGATATATGAATTTTTTTTTTATTTTTAAAACAAAAAGGAAGAAGATTAAGATTTTAGACGATGATGTTCTTATGCCATTTTGAATTGTCTAGATAGAGAAACGCAATGTTAAACGAAGAAGTACTTATGTTATATTCCTTGGTGTAAGAAAGAAAGGTATGCGTTACCTATTCAGTTTTAGACTTTCTTTATAGTTTTTTCACGTGATAAAGGGAGAAAGAAATTATTACCTGGGTCCTCAGAGTTATTAATTAATCCTCTTTAAAAGATTGCAGGTCAAGCGAATCCTCATTTGCAAAATAAAGATATATCTTTCTCTCTCCATAACTTGTTCTTTTCTCTGTCACCGAAAACCCAGCAGGGGTCCGGACGGAATGAATGAATTCAAAGATTATTATAGTTAATTATCTTAATTATTTTTAAATTAACATTAAATTTTTTTGTTTATAATTCACTTTTGGAAAAAAACTGAAGAATAACATCCAGAAACAAATTACAATAATTTTATTCACCATTGAAATATATAAGTTTGTAGGATTAACTATTTTTTATAATTTCTATTAAGAAAGGTTAATGATATATTTTATATTATTGATAATATAACATTTGTGCAATTTTACTTGCGATTGAATTTAATTTTTTAAATTAAATTTATATTATAAATTTTATTTTAAAAAATATTAATTTTTTATAAACAAATTTATTTATTTTTAGTTTGATCGTTTAAAATTTTTTTTGGTTTATTGCATATCTGAAAACAAAAAGAAAATCTTGCAAAATGTTTTAGACTTGGTCTCAGGAAACTTTTTGTTTAAATAATTTTACCCACAGAAAAGCAAAGTAAAGTACATTTTAATTTTGAAAAATAAAATCAAGTTGAAAAAATTTTGATGAACAAAATATTTAAACAAAAAGATTCATCGGGTTCACTCTAGAACTTTTTGTAAACTAGTATTAATCAAAAAGAAAATCTATTTGAGCCAATACTGGCTCAATATCGGCTCAGTACTGGTTTGCCAGTACTGGGAGGGTGGTACTGCACCAGTACGGATACAATGAAAATACCAGTACTGGTTCAGTACAGACTGCCCAGCCTCGGCAGCCAATACTGAACCAGTACTGCGCCAGTAGTCAACTCTGGTGTAATACTGAAATTTTTGGTTGGGTAACTTTGACGGTTTGCATTCATAAAAAATCAAAAATAGGATAATTTTCAATAGTACTATAAATGTATTTAAGACCTTAATTACAGATGGTTGAACGTGACGAATTTGCTGCTTTCGTGACTGATATGAATAAAAAAATGTCAACTTTAGTCGAGATGAATAGACAGCAGGAAAAACAGATTACTCTTTTGAACAAAAAATTAGATGATTGCACAAATAAAATTCTGGATGCAATAACTCTTTTTATAAATTATAACATTTTTTCAAATTCCGATAACAGCTTATATTAAATTGCATAAATATGTTATTATTTTTCTAAAAAAACCATATGGTAAAAATTTGTTTTAAAAATCATGACTTCTGGAATTGACCTTAAGAACAATGTCAAAATTTGATAAGTTTGTCCCATTTCCGCATGACAATCCTTAAATAAATTGAAATTTCTAATCTCAGAGCTAAGCCTTGTCCGAATAAATTCGGATGATTGATATTCCATTGTATTTTTTTTGGCGATAGTACTTGTCTACAGCACTTTTATATTCTATATAATATAAATATTATTCTATATATTCTATATAACTATCGTATGTCATTTATCTGTACAGATTATAGAAGGAGTAAAAATCGAAAAACTTTGTTTTTTGAAAGCGCAGCATGCGACATCCCTTTACAATAGAGTAAAGTGGATATCAATGGGATATTGGGAGAATAACCAGCACCAATATCTCTACATAAATGACTGCGAAGTTACGAATGGAGAGGTTAAATTTATAACTCTTGAAGATTGTAATAATATATTAAGTATGTATAAGTATATTTCTCTTGTAATTACTCAAATTAATATTAAAATTTTAATTACAAGAAATTCCAATAATTATAGTTATTTTATATAATGTGACAACCCTAGTCGCGAGGTTTTATTATTAAACTTTGATAAAACGAAAGATAATTTATGCGTGGGTACGCCTCGTACTGGGTGCACATGGGAACGAGATTTCCACTCTTACCTGCATTGCCTTGATTGCGTTGATGACACTGGTTACCGTGCATAAGCGAGATCCAACAATGAAAGTACAGCAAGCAGAAGGGATAAACAAAAAGACTCACCAGTGTCGATTTTAATCCAATGTTTCCACAATTTCCAAAGTTTGGATAAGATAATGTTCTGGTAATTAAACAGAGAAATAAGCGTTGATTCTATCCAAGTACACTTGATTTATTACTTTAGAACAATATAATTAATATAAAATACAAAATACGCGTGACAATCGCGCGAGTTACGTATAGCGTTGTAGTTCGCTCTCATCTGATTATTTCGTTCGCCAAAATCAGAAACGTGCTTTTGTCGGCTGCTATAAAGTCGAGCGCCACCTACGTTTTTACGCGCGCAATCTCATTTGATTTGAATAATATTATTAAAAGAGAATAATAATAAAACCACCGACAATAACAATTATTGGCCAATTAATTAAAAACGATCTTGTTCGTTACAATTCCCCCCTTCTAAATTGTTGTTATCGGTTGTTTTTCAATAATAAACATTCCTTCGTTTTACTTCCTTACGTCTAGTTGATTATCCCTCTCAAAGGAGTGAATCTGCTTGCTATTAGTTTGCCTCTTTAGCATCATTTATCCTAAGTGAAATTCAATATTAAAAAGGAACTTTTTACCTTATTTAGTCTTAAAAGAATATAATATATAAACATTATTGGGTCTCGCATATGCTCTCTATGATATGATGATTATCAATGAACGAATAACAGTTAATAATTTAATTATCATTCTTCGTTTATTAACTACATTAATCAGTCTCATTTAGATGAGGTAGTTGCGCTGCGTCGATAGACCAATTACAAACGTGTTATTTAATGTACTATAGTATATTACGAGGCTTATCCTTAATATTTGGAATAATGCGATAACCACAGTCTTTGATGGCGTATTACGGCGTGTGTGAAACACAAACAAAAATATAATACTATTGGCGCACAAAGGCGCAACGAAGTGACTAAAAATATAATAATGTTAATACGCGACGGCGCATTTATAGTAACCAAAAAAAAGAAAACAATGTATTATATATAACGCGCAACGGCGCGAAAGGAAAGAAATTATTTATTTATTTAGAAAGATTTTTTTTTTCTTTTCTTTTTTAAAAAGAAAGAAAACACACAGATCAATGCGCAACGGCGTAATTAACAACTTTTAGTTGTTTGAACATTGAGACGCACTATTCTTGCGGGGTATCGGTCGATTCCTGATTGTGGACGGCCGGATTTTCGTCACCATCGTTAATCGGTTCCTCCTTGTCCTCATTTAGGGCTTTGTGGAGAGCGTAGTCAGCCGGGTAACAATAGTTTGTCTCGAACTCAGAGGCGTTTGATTCATTTGCGCGTTGTAATCCTCCAACCACTTGGGGGGTTTGTGGAGGAATTGATCGTGTCCTGTTACTTCCAGGTGGGCCTATTGCTTTTTTGGCAGTGGATGGCGAAGATTGCTGCTCAAGGCGCAAAGCAAGGGTATGGCGCGCTTGTAGATTGTCGGCCATCATTCTTCTAATGCACTCAATGCATTTCGTATCTGGAGCGTTAAGTGGTCCCCAGCATCTCTTGCATTTGAGGTGCTCTGGTATCCCAGGTGGTCCATTTACGAAATGAGGCCAAGGACATTCGCTTGTTGAAAAATCGGGATGTGCGCACTTTTGGCAGAATTTTCCAGAATAGGGCTTCGTGCATGACCTGTAACTATGGCCTGGAATCCCACAGTTCAGGCATCCTTGTTCAGCCCTTGGACGTCGTTGCAGTTCACGTAATTCCGCTACTGCGCGATAAACATCTGACAAAGTTTCTCGGAATATATCCTTGTATCGTTTGGCCAGCTTTGCATCGTAGGCCGCGTAATCGTAATCCTCTTGTAGCGCTTCATATTTGTCTTGGAGCTTTTCTCCTTTCGTTTGTAATTTGTCCACTTGTTGTTTGCAGTGACGCAATTCTTCTTTGGTTTTGGCCAGTTGGTCTGTCAACGACGACTTTTCGTTGGTGACCGTCAGCAATGAGTCATACAATTTCTCTATCTGTCTAAAACTTGGTTCTGTTGACGAAGATAGGGATTGGGTGGAGCCCAAGCGCAGTGAATGCGTGGTCACGCGTTCTTCCCTCAACTGGGCAGCCATGGCGTTACTCGACTTGATGAGGCTCTCCACATCGGCCTTGGCGAGGATCGTCAAACCGGATGGTTTGATTCCAGCATTGATATCGATGTTGGCGTCAAAGAGGTCATCTATGGTGGACGTAAGATACGTCAGTGTTGCGCTTGGTAAACCCTCGTTGGGTGTTGAAGTACTGCCTTCGGAACTGCTCATGATGATATCTAATCTAAAACGATTTTACAGGATATTTCGCGATCTGAGATTTTTCCTAGCCATTTTTAAATCATTTACGTGATATTTGCCAAGCTTCTTTCCATGCGTATCACTAATAATAACAACCATAGGAGATACCTTTTCGGTAATTGTAGCCGGTCCTTTGTAACGTGGCGCTAGTTTGGAACTATAACCACGCGCGGCATTTGATAAAGTGTTATTGGGGTAAAACACATAATCTCCAATCTCGAAAGGGATAACATTTTTACGGTTTTTATTAAAGTTTTACTCTGTCTCTTAACAGCCTTAATCATTAAGTTTTCGACTTTAGCGCGAAGAGTATCGATACGCTTTATACGCTCCAGTCAATTTTCAGCGGTCCCATCGGTCATCGCTACGACATTGATGTCATGAGGTTGTTTACCGGTACGTCTTGGTTCACGAGCAAAGTTTAAAAAGGCCGGGGTTACGCCTAACGAAGAATGGACAGTGGTATTATACGCGAATTGTATTTCTTCGAGTAACGTGTCCCAGTCACGCTGGTCTTCCCCAAGGAGGCTGGCTATCATCATTTTTAAGTTTCGATTAACGCGCTCTACAGGATTGGACTGTGGATGATATACCGGAGTTGTTCGTTGTTCCGAGCCGATTTCCATTAAAAATTTTGAAATGGTACGGTTTACGAACTCTGTTCCGTTATCCGTGATAAACGCTCTGGGAGTTCCCCATTTATTAATCAAAGTCTTCAATGATTTGACAATTTTTGGACCGTCGGCTTTCGATAATGTAAAGCATTCGATATATCGTGTATAAGTGTCCTCGCATACTAAGACGTAACACTTTCCTGATTTGGAACGCGGTAATGGTCCTATAATATCTAGCGATACCGTATCCCAGGGTTCGATGAATTTGCGTGGAAACATTAAGCCTTGTGGAGGGGAATTATCAGGTTTGCACCTGAGACAAATCTCGCACTCGTTAATGTACCGCTTAATATCTTCGCGCATTCCGGGCAAATAATTGTGATTCAAAATTGACACGTACGTCTTTTGAATTCCTTGATGCGCTGATTGGGAGGAATCGTGATATTTCGTAATTGTTATTAGAATTTCATTTTCTTTCAAAACCTTTTTCCACGCGTTATTGTCGCCTATGGTTCCTTTCAGTTGATTTGGTTTGTAATAGTAAAGTTCGAAATTATCGTCGAGCCTATATCTTTCGTAGCGCGTGGGAGCCTGCTGTACTCGATTTACCAATTCGTCGTACCAGGATTGGCTACGGGTGTGACTTAACTGTGATGGGGGCGTGTCTTCCGAGACACTCTCGTAGAGGCGCGATAGAGTGTCAGCGGCCTCGTTCGTTGTACCTTTACGGTGTTCAATTTTCACTTGGTTTGCTGACAACTCTCATGCCCATCGCGCAAGTCTTCCACGCGGGTCTTTTATGCCTTGCAGCCAGATCAAGCTGGAGTGATCAGTGATGACTGTGAACTCGGTGGCTTCAAGATAGCACCGAAGTTTCTTGACTGCAAAGATTACGGCTAAGCATTCCTTTTCGGTGGTAGTGTAATTTAACTCGGCACCTCGCAAAGGTCTGCTTAAGCACGTAATGAGATATTACTTATCTCCATCTTTTTGCGTCAAGACAGCGCCGATTCCAGTATCGCTCGCGTCTGTGTATAAAAAGAATGGCAATTTAGGTCGCGGCGCGTTTAAGGTTAAGGCATCTTTCAATAATTTTTTAACATCCTGAAATGCAGTTTCATGTTCACCTGTCCAAGACCAAGGCACTTTAGGGCTCGCTAATTTCTTAATCGGCCCTTGTACTTTTTTTTAAAAGTTACCTTATAATATCCCCTTTAACATATATTTTTTTCAGATTTTTAAAAAATGTAGTTTTTGAATAATTTAACGAAAACCATCGTCGCGCTACATGACGCAGCGCGCAGTGTGCTGATGCAGTATACGGGTGTTCCAAAAGTATGGAAACTTTCAAATATCTCGAAAAGTACGAATTTTTGTAAAAAATGTTCAAGACAAAAGTTGTTCCAAACAAAAAGATGTACATCTTTGAAACCAAAAAATTGGGCCCGGAGCCCAATGTTGGGCCCTACAATAAAAGAAGTGGTTTTCTTAAATAAGACCACTAATTTTCAGTATCAAATTCGTAATCCCCATGAAATTCTGCGTTCAGACATGTGGTAAAAGTGCCCAAAATATTGCGCCCAATCCAAGATATTGGGTCCACAATTTATCAACAGATAAATAAATTTTAGAAAATCGCATCTTGGAGGGAATTTGAGATCACAGGATTAGAAATTGAGCATAGAGCCCGATGTAAGATTCTGCAGCACAATGTGAGGGCCCAATATGTTTGGAATTTGTACCACAAGTCTAAGCCCAGAATTTCATAACGATTACGAAATAGAAGAAAACTAATTTTTTTTCTGCCTCACATTGGGCTGCGAAATCTTACATTGGGCTCTGTGCCAAATTTGAAAAGTAGCTTTGAATTTTTAATCCTGTGACCCCAAAAACTACAAAAGATGCGATTTTATAAATTTATTTATTTAACGAAAAATGTTGGGCCTAATCCCAGACATTGGGCCCAATATTTTTTGGCTTTTGTACTACAAGTTTAAACCCAGAATTTCATAACGATTCTGAAATGGATACTGAAAATTAGTGGGTTTTATTTAAACAACTAATTTTTTTAAGGTGGGCCTCACATTGGGCCGCGGAATCTTACATTGGGCTTTGTGTACAATTTGAAAATTATCTTCGAATTTCTAATCCTATGACCCCAAAAACTCTTAAAGATGCGATTTTTTAAATTTATTTATTTAACGAAAAATGTTGGGCCTAATCCCAGACATTGGGCCCAATATTTTTGTCATTTTTACTACAAGTCTAACCCAAGAAATTCATGGGGATGACGAATTGGATACTGAAAATTAATGGGTTTTATTCAAGACAACTAATTTTTTTTACTGTGGGCCTCACATTGGGAGGCGGAATCTTACATTGGGCTCTATTCCCAATTTAAAAATTAGCTTCCAATTTCTAATCCTGTGATCTCAAAATCCCTCCAAGATGCGATTTTTTAAAATTTATTTATCTGTTGATAAATTTTGGACCCAATATCTTGGATTGGGCCCAATATTTTGGGCACTTTTACCACATGTCTGAACGCAGAATTTCATGGAGATTACGAATTTGATACTGAAAATTAGTGGTCTTATTTAAGAAAACCACTTCTTTCATTGTAGGGCCCAACATTGGGCTCCGGGCCCAATTTTTTGGTTTCAATGATGTACATCTTTTTGTTTGGAACAACTTTTGTCTTGAACATTTTTTACAAAAATTCGTACTTTTCGAGATATTTGAAAGTTTCCATACTTTTGGAACACCCGTATACTGCATCAGCACACTGTGCGCGCTGCGTCATGTAGCGCGACGATGGTTTTCGTTAAATTATTCAAAAACTACATTTTTTAAAAATCTGAAAAAAATATATGTTAAAGGGGATATTATAAGGTAACTTTTAAAAAAAAGTAAAGTGGTCACTTCAAAAAATCACCCCAAAAAAAATTTTTGAAAATTTCAAAATTAATTTTTTTTGACTTTTTTTCAAAAAAAAATTTTGAGATTTTTTTTTTAGAATTGTCTTAGCGACATGTATAACATATTCAAAGTTCATTAAAATCGGTTCAGTAGTTTTCGAGAAAAATGGATTTCTTTATTTTCCTTTCCCCCACCATAACTCCCCCAAAAATTCGAATTATGGGTTCATACTTGCAGAATTTTATATTCATAGGGGTAGCAATATATGGTGTCAATTTGAACAGAATACCTGCAACGGCACTTTTTGTATCCTTAACCCCCTATACCCTTTGTGACACCGGTACCAGTTGCAAAGCCTGATAGTTTCCTATCAATGAATTCGTCAAGAATTTTTCTTTGCTCAGGTGAAAGGTCAATTAACTGTGTACAATTTAGGGAGTGATGCGCATTATAGGCGCGACTCAAAGGGCGTTGGATACTTGATCCTTCCATGGACCAATAACCTTTGTTGGCGTCTATAATGACTTTCCAACTGGTTATAATGTCCATGCCTAAAATTATGGGCGTGGTTAGTCCGTCTAGGACTGTGAACCAAAAATCGCCATGACAGTCGTTGATCCCAATGTCAAATTTAATGGTGTAACGAGGCGCGGCCACATGATCGCGTTGCGCGAGTTGTACGCCGGCGCGTGTTATCGCATCATAGACAGGATTGTCAATCGCGAATTGTTTGATTTCATCGAACAATTCGCCAGACATAAAAGTCCTGTCACTACCAGTGTCTATAAGGCCTGCATATTCTCTATTTCCTATTTTAACCGAAGTAATAATGGAATTCTTTTCTTGCGACGGTAAGGGCGATGCGGGCCCTTTGCGTACTATGCGCTTGAGTTTCCCAGCTATTGCCAATAAGCCAATGGCTGGTTTCCTCGAAGGCGTTGATAAGAGCGAGGATATGCTTTGTCCTACCGATCGCGAGTCGGTGGAGGGAAGCTCCTCGCTAGAGTCTGTGTACTCCGTCTCAGATTCGGAATAGAGTGCTTCGTCATACTCACTCTCTGAGTCACTAGTGTAATTCCCACTGGCACGCGCTTGATTATGCGCTAATGCATTTTGGGGAATGCACGTTGACTCATTTGCGGAGTGACTGCAACTCGGAATGGCATGAATATCGACTAGTTTGGTATTGTTGATGTTTGAAAAATTATTTATCGGTATTTTATTTTCTTGTGGTTTGCCAGGGAGAATTAATCTCTCCTGGCATCCTTCTCGTTTTTTGCCGGGTATGAGTTGGATGCATTGTGTCCGCAAGGGGGAAACTCACGGTTGTAGTTGGGCCAGTGCTGGGTTTGTGAGTGCGAAGGCGCATGCGCGACTGGAAAATTTGGCGGCGCGTGGGCATTGCACTGGCAGTCTGGTTGACAATGTTGTGCTTAGTATCGCTATCCCGGTTTTTGCGCGTAGACGATCTGCGTCTCTCCCCCCTTCTGCGATCGAGTAGAGCGAGAGGAGCTGGAAGACTCCGAAGAAGATCGACGGCGCGAATTTTTAGACCGAAAAGAGGATGTTCATTTCTTACTCCTCTTTTCAGTGTTAGATTTGGATTGACCGACTGGTAAATTCATATCCGTTAATTTTTGTTGTAATTTATTTATTTGGTGATTATAAATTTCTGCTTTATTTAAATTTATTTGTGGATTTGCTTTTGCCTGCTTTTTGTCATTTTTCGGTTGTTTCAGAGGATTTTCTTTTTTTTGATCCGCTTGTAGCGCGGTTTCCGAGTTTTCATCAGCTTGAAGCGATGAATTTTCGATCGCGTTGAGTTGATTTTTCCCGCGCGCATTACGGTTTTTCTTTTGAAGATCGCGAATTTTGTTAGTTGATTGCATTGTCGCGACCTTTTCCTCATATTTTCGCACATTTTCTATTAAACCGTCATAATCCGTGAAGCTATCGCGGTCAAAGTGGACAAGTAGTTCGGAATGAAGAGCCGAATATATTTTGTCAAGTTGACTTGTTTCCGGTATTTTTGTTTGGAGTTTATTGAAAAGCGCTGCCATCCGGACGATAAACTCGATTCCCGATTCATTTTCGGATTGTATAGCGGGCTGAATTTTGTTAGTGATCTTTTGATCATCGTTAGAATCGCCAAATGATTTTCGAAATTTGGCCGCAAATTCAGCCCATGTGTGCCAGGTGGTGCGGAATGATGTGAAACATGTGTAGGCAGTATCCGACAATACCTGGGACATTGTTGCTAGAGCATCGTCGGGGTTGATGGCGCTCGCATTCAATTTACGCTCGAATTCATCAATGAAATCATGCGCGTCCAATTTGCCTGGAAATTTTAATTCCCAAGATTTTACGATCTTGTGCAAATTTGTGACGTTATTGATTTGATTTCTGGGAGCCGGAAGGGGTGGCGCGATAGGGGGCGGTTGTTGGACCGTTGAATTATGGTTTTGGAAATTTGAAAAAGTCGAATTATGCCCTAAGTACGTGGGGTTTGAATTAAAAAGTACTTTTGATGGTGGGGGTCCTGGCGCGGAAGGGGTATTGTACTTCAGTGGAGGAAAAAAATAATTAGGTTCTATTCCTATGTTACTGGTGACTGGGTTACCCGAAGTCGACGTGGTGACTGTGGTTGTGGTTAGGGTGGGGGGATGACAAGTGGGGGGCGGTATATGTTCCCCTACGGTGTCGAAGGCCCACCGAGAATCGTGCCAAGTCGATTGCGCTTGTCTCGTATGCTGTTCAGAGACTTTGTGCGCAAGCGCCTCTATTGCTTTATTCGTTTCACCGCGAAGAGCATTTATCATTTCTTGATTATTTCTTTGAATCGATTCTAATTCTTTGGAATTTTGTTTTTTAAATGAAATAAGTTCACGGTGCGATTCTGGAAATAATTCACGTGTCTGACGGCGCGATTCTTCGAGATGTTCAGAGAACATTGTTTGTATGTCATTTTTAAATTGGTTCATTTCAGATTGAAAATGATAAAGAGCTTGATTAGCTTGTGACTTAGTGATTGGGGTTTTTTTTGTTTGTCGCGTATGTCGCGACGGCATTTTAATTTTTATTTTAGTTCCGGACGTGGTATGTCGTTCTAAAATTTTTTCTGCGCTGTCACTATTGTCACTATTGTCAGGGTCGGAAGCGGTTATGTGTTCTCAGGATCTGGCGTCTTAGGAGGCGCGTTCTGAGAAGGGGCTTGATTCTCTAGGGGATCGTTTTGCGCTTGAGCGCTTGCCGACGCTTTTTGTTGTTGAATGTTAGGGGGAGAATGTACCTACGTATTACGCGCTAGGAAAGCGTTTTGTTGGTCCAGAATTTCTGGGCTTGTGTTGGTTTCTTGTCCCTCTAAGTTTTTCTTTTCCTTTTTGTCCTTATTACCTCTACCCATTTTGAATTAAATGGTTTTACTAATAGAAGTGGATTTTTAATTTAATAAAATTAGAAGATAATGAGAAAAAAAAAATTTTTTTTGAAGAGAACAAATTTTCAATTAGTTAATCGTTCAAATGATAATCAATGATTTTGAGTTAATTAATTATTTTAGTTCAATTAATTAATTAATTATTTTGGTTCAATTAATTAATCAAGCGCCTAATCATTTGAAAACCCGTAATGCCATTATTTTTTTTTGTCAACACGACAACCGATGAGTAATTGTCAAAAACGAGCTGGAAGAAAATTATTTAAAATTAATAAAGGGAATTAAATTTCATTTTCTTCGTTGTGTAAAGAAAGGCAAAAGTTTTGATATTATTTTTTTTGTTATACTTTGCTTTATTTCAGTTTAAAGCTGGTAAGGGACAAGAACTGTGTTGTAAACACAGCTGTGTTTACAATTTGCGCGAGCCGTGTTGGAGATTACGTGTTTCCTCGTGGTAAAACGAATGTGGCTACAGTAATGAGAATAATTGATATTTGATCATTTTTTGTACATATATATATTTTTTTTTTCTATGGTTGTTATTATTATAATTTTAAAATAATTCGTGCAAAAAGCGTATTTGCATGCGCAAAAAGTCAATAGCGAAAATGTACAAAAGCAAGCTATTTATGCGTAAAAGCGGTGTTAAATTGTATTAAAAGAATATTTTATTATAATTGAATATCGTTATATATCTTTGTAATATTTAAAGCATATATTACAAAAAAAAGCAGTAAATTTGTGAGAGAGAGCTAGCTTATCATTTTTTTTTGTTTTGTTGGGAAAGCAATTTGAGGTGAATGAAAATCTCGTTCGAAAAGTGCTTTACTGGTGTATTATTTGTACACGTGATACACTTTAAAAACTCGCGTTTCTAATGAAAAAAAAATTATTTTTCAAAGAAGGCCCGAAAAGAAAAAAAAATTTTATTTATTTAAGATCAAATTAATATTCTAATTATAGTTAGAATTCAATTTGATCATGAGAAAATATAACGTTGGGCGCCATAATGTGAAAACCCTAGTCGCGAGGTTTTATTATTAAACTTTGATAAAACGAAAGATAATTTATGCGTGGGTACGCCTCGTACTGGGTGCACATGGGAACGAGATTTCCACTCTTACCTGCATTGCCTTGATTGCGTTGATGACACTGGTTACCGTGCATAAGCGAGATCCAACAATGAAAGTACAGCAAGCAGAAGGGATAAACAAAAAGACTCACCAGTGTCAATTTTAATCCAATGTTTCCACAATTTCCAAAGTTTGGTTAAGATAATGTTCTGGTAATTAAACAGAGAAATAAGCGTTGATTCTATCCAAGTACACTTGATTTATTACTTTAGAACAATATAATTAATATAAAATACAAAATACGCGTGCCAATCGCGCGAGTTGCGTATAGCGTTGTAGTTCGCTCTCATCTGATTATTTCGTCCGCCAAAATCAGAAACGTGCTTTTGTCGGCTGCTATAAAGTCGAGCGCAACCTACGTTTTTACGCGCGCAATCTCATTTGATTTGAATAATATTATTAAAAGAGAATAATAATAAAACCACCGACAATAACAATTATTGACCAATTAATTAAAAACGATTTTGTTCGTTACAATAAATAGAGGCATCGGATTACACGACTTTTTTCTAAAATACGATTTTTAACTTATTTAAATAGGATGTGACTTTTTCGACATAGTGTACATTTTGTTACAAAATTTTTAAACAAAATATGTCTTTTTAGTATACAATGCAGATCTTCTTTATTTCAATTATTTAAAAAATTTTAACTCAAATTTTTCTATAAATTAAGTATATTTAATAATTTAAATGAAATTCTTCATAAATTTAATTATCTTTAATTATTTTTCAATTAAAAATTTTATGAAATTCAACAATTGTTTACAATTTTCGAAAAAATGAATTAAAATGACAAGAAATTTTAATTTAAAACCTTTGAAATTTTCCATCTAAAAATTTCTAAAATTTAATAATTTTAACTATCACCAAAAAATTTTATTTCAAAATTACTTGATTTCAATTATTTTCAAAAATTTCAATTTAAAACCTTCTAAAATTTAATTACTTATAAAAATATCAACTTTAACGATTCAAAAATTTAATGATTTTTATAATATTCTTCAAAAATTCAATTACTTGAAAGTATTTTTCAATTAAGAATTTTCGAAATTCAATTATTGTTTTTAATTTCTAAAAAAAATTTCATCTACAGAAATTACCGAAATTTCAATTAAAAATAACTTCAATTTCAATTAATTTCATAATTGTGAATTGTAAATCTTAGACAATTCAATTACTTTTGAAAAATGTTATCCAAAATTATTTGATGAATTATTTTCAATTTTGTAAAATTAAATTATTGTCTGAAATTTAACAAAAACTTTTGAAATCAATTATTTTTAAAATTCTAACTATAATTCTTCCAATGTTCAATTATTTTTAATAATTTTAATATTTCATTAAAAATTCAATTAATTAAAAAAATCAAAAATTGTATTGTCAGAATTTTTTTTACTTTATCCTACTTAATTAAAATTTTTAAAAATTACGTCTTCAATTCTGAAATATTCGAAAAAAATTTTCTTGTTATAATATTCCTGTAGGATTATTCTTATTAAGGAAATAACAAAATGTATTAAATATCTAACAACATTAATTATGTAAAGTAAAATACTTATTAACTAATTAAATTTAAATAAATAAAAAAATGGACTTTTTCTTAATGTGAATCGATTAAAACGACTTCTTTTGTACTTAAAGTCAATCCAAGACCTGTAAATATAGGGTAACGGCACCAGTGAAGGAACTGACACCAGTGAAAGAACAAATTTCATGTTTTGCATTCTAATTAGTGTAATAAGCAATTTGGTATTATAAATTATATATTTTTATGTTCCTTATTTAATTTACGTCTTTAGTATCTAAGATACCTAGAGAGTTAACACGTAAATTTTATAAAAAATAATTTTTAAAAATGTTGTGTTGCAAATTTATCTTCAACAATAAGAACTCTTCTCTGACACGTTATTTTTTTTTACATTTAACTAATTTAAACTGCCTTAAATCGTCGGTCTTTTTTAAACTAAATTTATCTTGTGTATTAGAAATACTTCTTTTCATTTAAAAGCTAATAAAATATTAATTTGCCATAAGAAAAGCAAATTCCGTCATTGGGGGGTTTTTTTTTATTTACTAGTGAAAGAACAGAAATGTTTTTTCACTGGTTCCAATGCAATCCAATGAAGGAACACCTTCAACGAATAGTCTGAAGTCAAACAAAAAAATGACAAAATCAAATAGGTTAACACTGTTAGGTTACAATAATATTGTCAAAATAAATTGCAAGTAGATGATTGATTGTAGGTTATAAATGCATTTTCAATTAAAAATAAGATTCTGCAAACTTAGTTAAAAAATATTCATAATTATCATTAATTTACCTTTATTTTAGTATATTACAAACATTTTATTACTTTATCTTTGTTTTAATATATTTTTTAAATATATTTTAAATATATATTTCACATCGTTCTTTCACTGGATGCAGAAAATTCTTTCATTAGACAATTTGTTCTTTCACTGGTGAAATAGGTATGTTTTACTTATTAATTAAAATTTTAATTAACATCTTATATTTATGAAAATTAAATGTGACCTTCGCATTCTACACTTAATTAGCTATCGAAAAAAAATTGGTAAAAAAATTTTCAATAACTGCATTCAAAAATAATAAATGATAAAAGTATGCATTTCCTTAAATGTTCTTTCACTGGTGCCGTTACCCTATACGTTATAAATAAATTTAAAGTGAGAGACGGAGGTTAAATTATTGTCGCATAGTATTTTATAGCTGTAAAAAATTGTTTTTTAATAAAAATTTGATATTTTAAATTAATTTGTCGCAGTTTAACATTATTGCTATAATACTTTTGACAATAAGAAATAAAAAGTCTGGTTAATCAATTAAATACAAACATAATATTTTTTGGAACAAACGTTTATAATACATATATAACAATTTTTTTGCACATTGTTCAATTTAATAAAAAAAACTTATGTATATAATAATAATACTTGAAAATAACTATATGCGTAATAAAAGGATAACCTTTACATTTTCAAAACTTTAATTGCAACTGCCTTTTGCATAAAAGCATTATGTAACTGAAATTTAAACAACCTCTTGAATTTTAAATCAATCGATAATGTGTGTCTTTCAAAAATAAATTATTTTAATTAATTAAATTTTCAGAAGTAGTTAAAATGCTGCAACAAGGTGATTGTATGTTGCCCGGAAACCATGATTTATCTCTCACAAGAAAAATTCGGAGTATAATGAGCCAAGTTTTTCGAAATATTAGAAATTCGATGAACCAGAGGTAAGTACTAAAAATTAGTAATTTCATGCATTCTTTATTTGTAAATGTAAATTTTTATTTAATGGATCAAAATTTTAGTAGAGGTTTTAAAACTACTTTTGAAGAATTTTTGTTTGATTATAAGAAAAATTATTTTTAGAACAATTAATTAAAAATTTATTTTCTATGTTTTATGTCAACTTTATATTTCAGTGTGTCTAGCGCACTCTCTAAATCTGAATTAGTAAAAAATTAACTAATTCATTTAGTAAATTAAATTTCAACTAATGAATTAGTTATTTTTGGAAGTTTTACTAATAAAATAGTAAAAAATTAGTATTTGAACATTACTAATTTAAAATAGTAATCAAATTAACTAATTCTATTAGTTATTACACCTGAGTTACTAATTGAATTAGTCAGTTGAACGTAACCTCTATTATTTTTATGACGTATGTCATCTTCCATGGGTTTTTTTTTAAAATATTTTTTTGTTTTTTAGTATTATGTGAAACTATAGCTTGTACTCTATTCAAAATACTTTGTTTGATGCTTAAAATACTACTTTTGAAAGCATTTATTATTTTTAAATTATTGTTCTGTTTTTTAAGTATTATGTGATACTATAGCTTGTACTATGTTCAAAATATTTTGTTTGGTGCTTTAAATATTACTTTTGAAATTATTTATTTTTCAAAAAATTTTTTGATATAAACTAACCGTTAAAACTTTTTTATTAATTTTATTTCACCAAAAGTAACTATGTATGTGTATCTAAACTGTCTTTAAGTAAATTAATAAATTACTATAATGTAAAAATTTTAATAAAATCTTTACTCAAAAAAAATCGGAAATAATATATCAAATGAACCACCAGAACGTAAAAAATTTTATATGAATTTTACCAATATTATGCAATTTAACCCATGAAAACGGACTTTTAAAAATAAAATATTTTTTATACAATCATGAAGAAACTACATGCGAAAAATTTTATCTTCGAAACTCGACTTTTCAAATTTAAAATTTTAGTATGAATAAGTTGATAAATTTTTATTGATTATTTACGATTTGGCGGTAAAATTGTATAATGACTAATGAATTAGTAAACAATTAGTAGTTTTAACTAATCAATTAGTAATTTGCGCCCCCGGGAGCTGCATTAAAAAGTTACTAATTGAATTAGTTAAACCAAAATAACTATTTGAATTAAAAAGTTTTTACTAATTATTAGTGACTCACTTTTTGCTTTTTGAATTAGTAAGATTCTACTATTAATTAGTTATTTTTAACTAATTCAGATTTAGAGAGCAGAAGACGACAGAACCGAAGTCGACGAAATAGAAGAGATAAATCATCAGAACAACTTTATAGAACAGTAAGTTTAAATACTATTTTTGTAAAAATTTATTATTAAATATAAACGCACATCGTTAAAAACGTGTAAAAATCTTAATGGGAATTTAATCTTTCGCATATTTCATTTATTAGATAGTAATAATCACATTTCTATTACTCTTAATTTCATTGAAGAAATATGCAAACATTTTGTCAAGATGACCAAATAATTACATTAACAATTAAAGGTTCAAATAAAAGAAAAAAATTTATAAGGTTAAATTAAATGTGAGGTAATATTAATTTTTTAAATTCAAGTCTCTTTACCGGGTACATCAGGGAGGAATACATCATTCATATCAGCATCTGAATATTCAGGATATCGTACGAACGTACTGAGGATATATTAGAGATATTCTAATTTCCTTGGACATATTGATATCTTTAGAACGTCAGTAAAATATTCTGAACATCCCGAAATAGTTTAAGAGAATGTACTTGCACAGAAATCACTTTTGTTCAAGCAGATTCCTTAATCATGAGTATTAACGCTAATTTGACGATGACTCTTCGGTCAGAAACAATAATTGTATTCAATTACACTATTTCTGTTGTCCAAAGAAAAAATAGTAAGTCGTCTTTTCATAATTTTGAAAATTGATAGATCTGGCATCGAAACGTGGACAATAAATAATTAAATAAATTTAAATTATTGAATATAACAATAATATTTGTTTCTGTATTTTGGTAGTAACTTATGCTCAACTGTCTTGTTCTTTAAAACAACAGTTTAAAGAATAAATTATTTTTTTAAGCAAATATTTTTTGAATTCCTAATACTAGTTATCAATCGAAAAACTGTAACCCATTCACTGTTAAAGAAAAAGTTGATACTGTGGTCCCAAAAAGTCCAGCAAATTCTGATCGACAAATTTTTATATAAACTGATTGTTGGTATTACAATATTTTTTAAAGTCTTTAAATTAAAAAAAATTTCGCAATTTTGTATTGTTTCTTAATTGTTCATTAGTTAAAAATAATAAATAATTATTTCATTATTACTTAAGCAAATTTCTGTGTTTTACTTTATAATAATGCCCTGATGATGATGGCCGATCTGGCATCGAAACGTGGGCAATAAATATTTAAATAAGAATATCATCTGGATCCTAGAGGCGAAATTTATTTTTATACCATTCTTCTTCATTATCCAAAGTTCAAGATCGAAACATCAACCAAACATATTTAGATAATTTCATTTATATTGTCTCAAGGGGTTACAACACTGTAGAATTTTCAACAAATCATAAATTTTTTTTGGCTTAAAAAATTCTTTAAACCTTTTAGAATAAGGAACAAAAGGTTTTATATCGATCGGAAAATTTTTTCCTTGAAATTTCGCAATTCTTTCTAAGCCGTGCCGGCTGCTCAAAACCGACTACCTGCGGTAAGATGTTACCTGCTCTTCGGGTCCATCCACGGTCCGGAATCTGTTCAATGCCTGCCTCGCAGTGAAGCCCGCCGATAGGTGGGTACGTGTCTTAAAGTAATCTCTATCTTCGTCCTTCTTTTTTGGTGAAAAAGGGCCCCCTATCGGCGGGCTTCAGCGCGAGACCTCGTCTGAAATTACAAGATTCCGGACCTGTATATACGACCATGGGTCCACATAATACCTATGAATTCAACTTGGAACTTTTCTAATTAACTAAAACATGTCATTAGAAGGTCAACTATATGGTCCTGGAATAGCAGACTATTGGTAAACAAATTTTAGTACATAAATTTATTATTTTTTCATGCATTAATTTTATGTGTCTGTTCTCTGGCGGATAGGTTGTGCGCTTAGCCGAAGTTTTGATTTTTTGATTATTTTTTACAGTTTAATTATAAAAATAAGGTTGGGTAAGTATTAGAATGTATAGAAAAAGTGTTCATGAATCAATGTATGCCCTATTTATATTGGATTATTAAAAAAATAAGTGGAAAAAAATAATTTAAAGTAAAGCTTATTTTTTTGAAACTGGTAAAGATTTTGCCTGTATATAAACAAAAAGAAAAATACATATGGAGAAATAATAAGTAAAAAGTAGTAAAAAATAGTGGAAAAATGTAATAATATGTGACGCTCCATGAGAGAAGGGACCTAACGTGCTTTTGATTTAAGGTTTATTCACTGTGTCATTGCACGGTAAAAGCAAACCTTAAGTCAAAAGCACGTTAGGTCCCTTCTCTCGTGGAGCGTCACATATAATTAAAAAGTGAAATTATCATTGAATATTATTAAAATTAAATGATTAATAATTAATAAACAATGTATACTGGAACAGTATATACCGACAGAAAATCGCAAGTTAATGAAGTGCACCGACAGATGGCAGCGTTAGAGACATTATGTGGGGATCGTAGCTAGCAGGGTTACCGACAATGAGTTTTCAGAGAGTAAACTTCTCGCTCATGTATGAAGCGAGAGAGAGAATGCTCGGAGAGAATAAGAATGTAATGAGTGTACGCGCATTTAATATTCAGTTGTAATTGGGACCACGCTTGTGTAGCACGCACTTTACACGTGCACAATAAATATTAACTTTTATATAAAATAACAAGTTTTATGAACACCACATTGTTGGGATACCTTCTGCCCTTTTTAAACAACCAAATTTTAACAATATATTTATTTGAACATTTGAATAAAATCCCACAATTAAAATATATTATTAAGAAATGAGACGAATAAAATAATAGAACTGCTTTTAAGACTTTCAACAAATAATAATAATTAATGAACAATAATAAATAATTAAAAAAAAATAATAATAAATTAACTACATTATAAATATTATTAGCGGTGAAAATCAATAATTTTTTTAAAATTCCATTAATTCCATTAAAACTCACTATTAAGGGGTAAAATAAGCCGCTGATTTCGAAATTTTAATACATTCAAAAATTCAAAATGGCGGGTGACAAATTTTGAAAATTTAATTATTTTAATTGAAATTCATTACGTGTGGGTTATAGTGAGCGCTAATTTCGAAATTTTTATTAAATAAAAAATAAAAAATTGCGGATGACAAATTTTGAAAATTCTATTAAAACTCAATACTTGCGGGTTATAGATGGCGCACTATGGGGAATTTTGATAAAAAGTGTGTCAAAAACAAAGAACTTTTGATTCGAAGCATTTAATCAGATGAAACCTTTTGGAGGTTTTGTTTAATCCCTTCTGATTATGGGGAAATTATTAAGAAATAACAATAATTGATTTTTAAACTAAAAAAGTAACGTCAAAATTAACTATGTTTGGAAAAATTTGTGTTTTTTCACTCTCCTACGCTTTTGATGATCATGTTTTAAGAGTGAACCACGTTTTCTTATATATTTTTGGGCGCTCTTTCTGAACGTGACATATTGGATCCACCATTTTGTATTTTAAAAAACTGACTTCATATTCAGAATCAGCGACCCAAAAAACCCCAGAGTAACGAGTTTCAAGTAAGTCTAATATTTTTTTTAAATTAAGCTCGAAAAAGCCGTGATATTGGATCAACCATTTAATTTTTTTTAAAAATAATCGCAGAATCAGAAAGAGCGCCCAAAAATATATAAGAAAACGTGGTTCACTGTTAAAACAATATCATCAAAAGCGTACCCAAGCAGCACATTGTAAATCACCTGACCCTTACGAAAATCTATGATAAGAAAATTCTAATAGGCCCTATAATCTTTTTTCTATAATATTTTTCTTATAATTTTTTCGCGACCATAGAAAAATGATAGAAATAATGATAGGAAAAAACGATAGGAAGAATGACAGTAATAATGATAGAAAAAAATGATAAAAAATAATGTTTGTAAAAAAGGTTTTTTTAAATTATATCGATAATAAATTTCACGTGCATTCAAAAGTGATTAAAAATATGAATTTTCTTTTATTTCAGATTAATTGTTTCACAATTATTCATTTTGATTACATTAAACAGTATAAGCAATGAATATTATAAAATTGTTAAGATTGTTGAAGCGGTTTTCTTGCTCGCCTTTTTGCACTTGAGCATTTGGTGCGCTTTGCAGATTTAATTAATTTTTTCGTATCAGGTGTATTCCTAAAAATTTTGAACGTTAATTCTTAAAGAAAATTTTTTAGATTAAAATTAATATTATTGTTATTATTATTAGACTCGGTTTAAAAAAGCGTGTGATATTTACTATTAATGAACTTATCGATTGATCTATTTTTAACATTTTATTATAAAATAAATAAAATATTTTTATTATCATAACTTTTTATAAAGATGTTTAAAAATTGTTTTTAATGTAAAAAATTTAACTAGTCAGAAAGCAAGTTGTTTATAAAATGATATCATTAACAAAATTTGTAATTTATGTGAATATATATATAACGTACTTTCTATAGCTTTCACTCGCTCCGGGTACAATGTATTAGGATCACATAAATCTCTATTATTGTGGGCATTGGATTGCCTGCCGGTTAAAGATGACGTTTCAAGTTCTCTTCTTGTAAATAATACTGTTGACAAATCGCCGACATATCTTGTCACTGAAATCTTACTACAACTCTCCAAAGACTCGCGTGTGAACAATTTTCCAGCAATGAGAATGTAATCATTGGATCTCTGTAAATCAGATGAATTACAAATGTAAAATTTAGTTTTTGTATTACAATAAAATAATACTTGAACATGAAAATTAATATATTTAACTTTAAATACAAAATTGAAAATAATTCTACATAATTAATGAATAGTCTAAGAAATCTACACTATAAATTTTTTTTTAAATTTTAATTAATGAATAAAATTTTAGTGTTATAAAAACTCCGTATATCAATTCTGAAGAATACTATTGTATCTACTTTATTTATTCTTTTATGAATTAAATATAAAAACTTACTGTTTTTTAATATATGGGAGGTTCCACGTCAGATTTCTGTCGACTTTTTAAATTCGGTCAAACATATTTTATTTTTTCATTCTTCAGAGAAAAACTTATAGTAGGCATTTTTTAATTTTTTTATAAGTAAACAAATTTGTCAGGAATAAATTTTCAAATTAAAAATTGTTGAATTAAAAATAGATTTACCAAAAGAATAGAAAGACTTTTGGGAACTTTTACATGATGGCCACTAAAAAGTCAACAAATTTCACTGTTTTTTCCCTGACCAGGGGGTCGATTACGTGACTATTCCACATTCCACATTCTGCATTCCACTTTTCACATTCCACATTCCGAATTCCGCATTCCACTTTTCACATTCCGAATTCCGCATTCCACTTTTCACATTCCACATTCCGAATTCCGCATTCCACTTTTCACATTCCACATTCAGATTTCCAGATTCCACATTCCGAACTACATTATACACATTCCATTTTTTAGTTTGGGATTCTTTACATTTTTCAGATTTCGGATTATACTTTTTAGTTTTAACGTTGATATATTTAATTTTAAAAAAATGTTAAAAATTTTAAAAATATTAAATAATCGATATTTTGAAAGATTGCTAGTATTTAGTGTCTGCTTTTAGTGTTTTAAGTTTGCATGAATACAATAACACAAAAATTAGTCGTGTATAAAAATTTGTGACATAAAAAAGCAATTTTTTGTAAGTTGAATAAGGTTACTTTATGTTTAACGAGATCTAATTGACATCTTTTTGAAGCATTGAATGCGGGAAACAATTAAACATATTATTAAAACTTGAAATCATTATTTGGCAAATTTAAAAAAAAAATTTCTATGCCCTTTGGCTTGTGGTTGCCGAGGTTAAGCTCAACATTGAGCACGGAGTTAGTACTTAGATAGGTGACTGTCTTGTTGGTACTCGCAACATCCCTGATGTTTTTCAATTCTATAAATATATTCCTAGTGGGAGATTTGATGTTGAAATACAACGGTATGCATTGTCGATTACACAGCCCCACAAAAAAAAAAAGTGTCATGTACTTTTGACCGGAATACCCTAACCCTATGTATTTTGACACGCTGAACACGAATCCGAAGTCCGTTTTGCTCCATCACGTCAGGATTTTTTTCTAACCTCAAAAAACATGTCGGATTTTGTGAAGTAGGCGATTTTTTTAAAAATTGATGTATTAACTTCAAACTTGGTATCTGGGGTTTTTTTGTGTCGCTGATTACGAATCTGAAGTTAGATTTTCAAAATCCAAAATGGCGGATCCAATATGGCGGAAGAATTTTGAAAAAATTTTAAGATTTACTTCAAACTTGGTATCTAGGGGTTTTTTGGGTCGCTGATTACGAATCTGATGTCAGATTTCCGAAATTCGACATGTCTGATTCAATATTAAGGAATTATTTTTAAAAAATTGTCAGATTATTATGAAATTTGGTATCTACAGGTTTTCTAAGTTGCTGACAAGTAACACTAGGGAAGTGCCATACGACGATTTTTCTGAAACTTGGCAGTTTTGTAGTTTTTTAAAAACAATTTGACACGTATGTTTTGTTTTTCACCAAAAGCTGATTTATGGGGGGAACTACCCCTTGAATTTTTTTTTGGTAGGGGGACATTATTTTACGAAATTTTTTAAAAATTAATGTGCAATAGTGTATCTGGGGGTTTTTTGAGTCGCTGATTACGAATATGATGTCAGTTTTCAAAAATTGATAATGGCGTATCTAGTATGGCCGATAGAAGTCCATGCTGGATATGCCATTTTGAATTTTTGAAAACTGACATCATATTCGTAATCAGCGACCCAAAAAACCCCCAGATACAGATAATGGCGTATCTAATATGTCCGATAGAAGTCCATGTTGGATATGCCATTTTGAATTTTTCAAATCTGACATCATATTCGTAATCAGCGACCCAAAAAACCCCCAGATACCAAGTTTGAAGTAAATCTTAAAATTTTTTCAAAATTCGTCCGCCATATTGGATCCGCCATTTTGGATTTTGAAAATCTAACTTCAGATTCGTAATCAGCGACACAAAAAACCCCCAGATACCAAGTTTGAAGTTAATACAGCAATTTTTAAAAAAATCGCCTACTTCTCAAAATCCGACATGTTTTTTGAGGTTAGAAAAAAATCCTGACGTGATGGAGCAAAACGGACTTCGGATTCGTGTTCAGCGCGTCAAAATACATAGGGTTAGGGTATTCCGGTCAAAAGTACATGACACTTTTTTTTTTGTGGGGCTGTGTTATTGTCCGATGCAGACGGCTAGAATAATTAATAACAATTTAGAATAATTTTTATAAAGGTTATGCTTCATCCGTAAAAAATATTACTCGGAAACTCTTTTCGAGAACAAATTATAACCAATAGTGCAAGAGTATAATTGAAATAAAGAAAAATATAATATAATAAAACTGCTGCCAAGTTTAAGTATGAATTGCTTCTTCATGGGGGAAATATTTTTTGTGTTTATTCCATGAACACTTTGCTTCCTCCTGAAGATTTTTAATTATTGATAAATTAACAACCCCATTATATTTTCAAGTAAAAGATTCACAAGTAGGTTAATCTTTCCTTTTTTAAATTAAAATTTAACTTGGTTATGTTAATTTTGAAGTTATATTAGAATTAAAAAAAAATAATTCTAGAAAGTCTGGTTGTTTAAATTTTTTCAATTTTAAAATGTTAATAACTTTGGACATAAAAAACGAAGAATGTTCGCTAATAGGTCAAAAAATTTGCATTGAAAAGTACAAATTTAAAGAAAAATATCCGTAAATGTTACTGCATTTTTTCAAAGTTATAGGCAAAAAACGATTTTTTCAAAATTTTTAAATGCAAAAAGAATTAGTTAATTTTGACTAATTTGGATTAAAGTACTCTCAACATTTGTCCGCCGTTGAGATCTATATTTAAAAAAAATGCAGCCCTTTAGCTATTATACAATTTGAGATATTTATGAAAATTGGATGTTTATAAATTCACCCACCCACTAACGGAACGATATTTTCTAAAAATGTGATTTTTATATTCTTAATATCGAAAAACATCAATACATCAAAACATCAAACTCGAATAATTTTAGTAAAACAATTTCTTCTTCTTCTTGCTTCCCATGAGGAAGCAAAATTGTACTTTTTGCATTAATAATAATTGATTAGTATACATAAAGTTTGAAAATATGATCTAAAATTTATAAAAAATATGAACATCAATTATGTTATTATTATTATTATTATTATTATTATTTAATGATTTTTATGGAATTAATTAAAAATTTAAAACAATACTTGGTCTGAAACATTTTACATTTAAACACTTTGTTGTTGTTATAAAAATTAATGTTTTTACAAAAATTTGATTTTGCTTTTTTTCGAAATTTTCCACAATTTCCAAACAGACTTTTAAGGGGAAGGACCGGTGAAAATTTAATTCATCGAAATTAATGTTGCTTGGGGTCGTCAAATTTTTTCCTGATAATATTGGGTATTTAAAATTATAATATACTATGAAAATTAAAAAAACAATTAATTTGTTAATAATTTTTACAATAAAACTCAAAATTCTCCAAAAATTGAAATTTGAACTTCTTTCACAATTTTTATTATTTTTTATTGCCAAATTTTTTCAGCGCTTTTTTCATGATTCTGAACAATCAAGCGTATGGGTTTTAAAAAATTTAAATTTTTTCAAAAAATGTCAATTTGGAAAAGTAAAAAAACCTTTTAAGGATTGTTAAAAACAATATTTTTTTTATTTTTAGGGTTCCGTTCACGCACTGAATCGCAACGGAACCCTTATGGAATCACTTATTGCATTTTGCACCCCACCCCCCTGCCAAATTTAGCCATTTCAACCTAATAAGTGAAAAATTGGTACCTATACGTATTTTCACTCGTAGATTTCACGAAAAATATAGCCGACCCGATTGGAATTGATTTAAATTTAGTTTTTTTGGAAAAACTCATTTTTTTAGAAAAACGTGTTTTTTTTTAACTTAACTTTTACAATTTTAAAGCTGAAGAGATGCAAGTTGGTATACTTATGTATTTTTACGAGTAGATTTCACGAAAAATATAACGAACCCGATTGGAATTGGATTAAATATAATTATTTTCTAAAAAGTATAGTTACTTTGGAGAAACTTGATTTTTTAGAAAAAAACATGACGTATTATATTGAATAAAAAATAATTGTGAACGGAACCCTAGGCGAGCGAGTATAACTATGGCACCTGGCCAATTTTTTACATTAAACATTTCAAAAAAAAATTGTTACCCCCAAAGAAAATCAATTTTGATTGGTTTAAATTTTACTGCTATTTCTTTAAAAATTCAACTTCTTTTACAATTTTTATTATTTTTCATTTACGAATTTTTTATATGTTTTTCATGATTCCAAACAATCAATCATATGAATTTTAAAAAATTTTAATTTTTTGAAAAAATATAATTTCTATAATAGCCAAAAATAATTTTTTTAAAAATTTTAATGGTATATAATAATTTTAGGTCTTAAATAATGACAGAAAAAAAATTGACCACTCTTAAAAACTTTAATTTCGATGGGCTGAAATTTCACTGGTCCCTCTTCTTAACTTTTTCTCTGACTCTTATACAATATGAAAATAATTTTCTATGTAAAAATTTGTGGGTAAATTTCCGAGAACTAAAGTTTTTATATTATTTTTAGATTTTACATTTTTCGTCTGTATTGAATTATAGAATTATGCAATTCCTTGACTTTTCCCTGATTTCCTTAACCCGTGGCAACCCCATTTATACCCATTTTTAAATATAGATTTTAATGGAAATTATTAAAATAAGAAAATTAATCTCACTATTTTCGTTTATTCAAACAATTAATAATAATTAACATTAAAAGTATAATAAATTAAAACTAATTTGGATATATAAATTATTTTTGATTAATAAAGAAGCCTTTTAATTCTTTTAAATGGTTTTCCGTTTTTTGAATGGCAAGCAATTGTTCCTTCATAATATCTAACTTTTTCTTTCTATAAATTGCTGTTTCTTTTCGTTCTCTTTTCATTTCCTGTAACTTCTCTTCGTTCAATTTTAACAATTATTATAAGTATTATAAGTATTAATTAGCTGTATACATATTTGTAATTAACAAATAATAGTTAATAGGTATATAATTCTATTATATATTATTATAATAGAATAGTAATTATAATAACAAATAATCT